TTTTTTTTTTTTTTTTTTTTGAGACAGAGTCTTGCTCTGTTGCCTAGGCTAGAGTGCAGTGCACGATCTCAGCTCACTGGCAACCTCCTGCCTTGCGGGTTCAAGCAATTATCCCTGTCTGCGCCTCCTGAGTAGCTGGGACTACAGGCACCTGCCACCACGCCCAGCTAATTTTTGTATTTTTAGTAGAGATGGGTTCCACCTTGTTGGTCAGGCTGGTCTTGAACTCTTGACCTCAGGTGACCCTACCCCATCTCAAGGCCTTCCAAAGTGCAGGGGGGACTCACTCTGTCACCCAGGCTGGAGTGCAGTGGTGCGATCTTAGCTCACTGCAACCTCCACCTCCCAGGCTCAAGCAATTCTCCTGCCTCAGCCTCCCGAGTAGCTGGGATTACAGGGGCCCGCCACCATGCCCAGCTAATTTTTGCATTTCTAGTGGAGATGGGGTTTCACCATATTGGCCAGGTTGGTCTCAAACTTCCGACCTCAGGTGATCCGCCCACCTCAGCCTCCCAAAGTGCTGGGATTACAGGCGTGAGCCACCACGCCCAGCCACTTTAAGGAGTATTTCAAAAAGCTTCTCAGTTCCAAGGGACTGAGCAACAGCTGCCCTTAGCAGGGGCTTGTTCAATAATACATCCTTATAGTGGCTCTCCATCTTTCCCTCAATGGGATCATTTCCTACTCCCTAACAAGGTATCTGCACATAAGCTTCAGGCTCTGCTTTCTGGAACCCAAGGCTAAGATGGTTATCCATGTTCGGATTATAGTAAGTGGAACAAACCTAACCCAAACACCACTATAAAAAGAATACAGCTTAGGCAATATGGCAAAACCCCATCTCTACCAAAAAACAAAAGAAATTAGCTGGGCATGGTGGTGCAAGTCTGCAGTCCCAACCACTCAGGAGGCTAAGGCAGAGGATCCTCTGTTGCCCAGGCTGGAGTGCAGTGGCACAGTCACAGTTCAGGATGGGATCATGCCACTGCACTCCAGCCTGGGCAAAAGAGCAAGACCCTGTCTCAAATAATAATAATAATAATAACAATAATAATAATAATAATAATAATATAGTTTATTGTGCCTGGGTTGCCAACACTTACAGAAAGAACCAACCTGTTGAGTCTTTAAGTTTATGGAGCATTTAAAAACATTTCCAGGTGGGGCACAGTGGCTCACACCTGTAATCCTAGCACTCTGGGAGGCCGAGGTAGGTGGATCACTTGAGGTCAGGAATTCAAGACTAGCCTGGCCAACATGGAGAAAGCCCGTTTCTACTAAAAATACAAAGAAGTAGCCTGGTGTGGTGTTGTGCACCTGTAGTCCCAGCTACCCAGGAGGCTGAAGCATGAGAACTGCTTAAACCCAGGAGGTGGAGGTTGCAGTGAGCAGTGAGCACCACTGCTCTCCAACCTGGGCAACAGGGTGAAACTTTGTCTCAAAAAAAAAAAAAGAAAGAAAGAAAGAAAAAGGCCGGGCTCAGTGGCTCACGCCTGTAATCCCAGGACTTCGGGAGGCCGAGGTGGGCGAATCACGAGGTAAAGTGTTTGAGACCAGCCTGGCCAACATGGTGAAACCCCATCTCTACTAAAAACAGCAAAAAACTTCTAGCTGGGCGTGGTGACAGGGCCGCCTATAATCCCAGTATACTCGGGAGGATGAGCGCAGAGAACTCGAGCTTGAACCTGTGAGGTGGAAGGGTTGTTACGAGTGAGTCGAGGATCACAGCCACCCCGCACTCCAGACTGGGGCAACAAGTGCAAGACAGCTGTCTCAAAAAAAAAAAAAAAAAAAAAATTTCAAAAACTTTTCACAGTGATACTCGCTGTACTGACCGCTGTGCAGGTCATATAGCTAAACTCAGAACATCTTTTTGTTGACTTTTTTTTTTCTTGAGATGGAGTTTCGCACTCTTTGTTGCCCAGGCTGGAGTGGCAATGGCACGATGCTCTAGGCTCACGCAACTCTGCCCTCGTGAGTTCAGAGTGGATTCTCTGGCCTCAGCTACCCCAAAGTAGCGTGGGAATTCACGGGCATGCGCCACCACACCCCCGCTAATTTTGATTTTTCTAGTAAGCAGACGGGCTTTTCACCATGTTGGTCACGCTGGTCTCGAAACCTCCCGACTGAGGTAATCTGCCCACCGTTAGGCCTCCCGCAACGTGGCTGAGGATTCAGCAGGCATGAGCCACCTGCTGGGCCTTTGCCCATTTTAACCATTGGTTTTTTTTTATTTTTTTTTTTTTTGTGATGGAGCTCTGATCCGCCTGTCTGCGCAAAAGGCTAGAGTGGCAATGCGCATGAATCTCGGCCTCATTGCACGCCTCTACCTCGGCTGGGTTCAAGCAATTCTGCCTGCCTCAGGGCCTCCCGAGTAGCTGGGATTAGCAGGGCATCGCTACCACTTACCACCAGGCGCATACTATAGCTAATATATACTATTGTATATTAGTTTTTGAGTGCCGAGTCTTGCTGCTGTTGCCCAGGCTGGAGTTGCAGTGCGCAATCTTGGCTCACTGCAAGCTCCTGCGCTGCCTGGGTTTCAGCGCATTCTCCTGGCTCAGCCTCACCCAAGTAGGGCTGGACTAGCAGGTGCCCGCCACCAATGCCTGGCTAATTTTTTTTTTTGTATTTTTAGTAGATGGGGTTTCACCGTGTTAGCCAGGTTGGTCTCGATCTCCTGACCTCGTGATCCTCCCACCTCAGCCTCCCAAAGTGCTTGGATTACAGGCATGAGCCACCACGCCCAGCCCCTAAACTCAAGTTTTAAAAGAGGAAACTGAGGCTCAAAGAAGTTTACTGACTTGTCCTGATTAATGCACCTACTAGGTGCTATGGCTTTAAGATTCACATCCTGGTCTTCTAAGTCTGAAATCTCTGTACTGTTTTCCAGTGTGATGAGCTATCCCATGGGACCTTAGGAGCTACTGTGCTGGCGTCCAAAAATGGCTCAACTAAAGCCACTTTCACCTTTTATTTGTAGTTTAATCCAAATACACTGAACAGCAGGGAAGGAATAGTCTGAATGGTCTGAAACAGTCTGGGAAAAGTGCTGAGAGGCTACATTTTGCTTCAGGTCTGAGCTGGGACGTCAGCATAGCCTCAGTCGCTGTGGAGGTGAAGGGCTCCAGCACCGAGAGCCCGGAACTCCAGCCACATGTCGGCACCTAGGCCTCCTTGGAGCTCTAGCTCCTGCCATTGTCAGCTGCAGATGCCTTGGGTAGGGAAATATAAGGACTCTTTCCCTCCCTATTCTTGATGACCACAAGGGGGAACCTTCCACCTGGCAGTTATGGGCCCTGAGGGAATCTGAGCCTGGGCAAAGGGCCCAGCGTGTCAGTTCCCATCACAACCACACTGTCCAGCATGAGTCACCACACACGCAGCCAGGTGAGTCATACAGGCTGACGGACACTGAGGACAGGACGAGAGGTGGTTGGGCACCGGGGACTGGAGAGGGGCCCAGGGAAGGGCCAAAGAATCCATATCCTGGCCATTCATGCAGTTAGCTTTCTGTGCTGATGTAGGGCTATTCTGGTTACAGGATCCCTGTTCCACTCGGGCTTTCAGTAGCCCCCAATCCCTTCCAACAGTCCTCTTCTTAGAAGCCCAGTCATCACTAGAATCCTGTTCCCCTCCTCATCTTAATGTGATCACTCTTTGTACCCCAAATGTTCTAAGGCCTTCTGTCATTCCCCCTATAAGACTTACTTATCTTCGTGCCATCCTCTTACATTAGTTAACTTGCAAAAGGAAGATGGTAACAAATGCAGGTAGGTCACTGCATTACCTCTGTGAGGTTAGTACTCAATCACTGCATTTGGAGTGACTGGTATCTGATCACTCCAAATGGATCAGGATGGAGTGATCAGATACCAATATACTAACCTTGGTTAGTATATTGTTTGGAGATACATATTTAGGCAGTAAATGATAAGAAAAGCAAATGAATGATATAAACAAAACTCTGGAAATTTTGGGTGAATTAGGGAGAGGCGCTCAAGAGGTCTCAAAGCTGATTACTGACACAGGAGTGTTCAGTATTAATGCCATTTAAACTGTACATACACGTCTTAATCATTCTTTTGCATGTTTCACAATAAAAAATACCACGAAAAACTGGGGTAAGAGTCTTGATTCAGCACTTATTAGGTGTGATCTAATATGGACTCAAGTAACCCTCCTAACCCACACACCTTTATGGGGGCCCTATGCCATAATGTATATGAAAGTGTTTTGCGTACAGTAAAATGTTAGTTTTCCAAGTTGAGGCCTCCTGGGGCAATGCCTTTATCCTTCAGGATTGACTGTTCAGCTTTTTGAGGACTTTGAAATCCTAAAACCCCACTGCACAGCTTGGCCAACTACGTATACCCCTTAAAAACAGCCTTGGGCGCCACCCTCCAAAACAGACTGGGGACAGTGTGGGATGAAAGACAGCCAACCCTTCAAGAGAGCTGAACAGAAACAGGAAGTGAGGGTGGTGCAGTGGGGCAAGCCTCTGGCTTCCAAATCAGTCTGCCCTGGTCCCACTCAAGTCCTAGAGGGACACTCACCAGCTGTCAGGACCTGTACTTTCCACGGGTGAGCAGCCAGGGCCCGCTGGTATGCCCGCCAGAGTGCCATGCTTCCTGTCAAGCCAAGAGGAGAGGGGGTCACCCCTACTGTCCCTCTCCACGACTAAGAAGTCGCCTGACATTCCCTTGTGCCCACTCCCTTCCCCTTCCCACTTCCAGTGTGACTTAAAGTGACAGAGGTCACATGAGGGATGCTTCCCAGACAGCTTCCTGTGGCAGGAGTCGGCTTAGACAATTGGGGAAGAGAGAAAGGCTGTGGGAAGCTATGGCCTCCTGGTAGCAGCCACAAGCCACCTCAGTCCTGAAGCCGGACCACCTGGAGGCCTCCGTTCCCAACCGAGACAAGCATGAGGACAGCTTTGCTCTAGCTTCTACCCAGAGCTTGGGTGCCTCAAAAGATAGCTTGGTCCGTCTCAGATTCAGACTTCGTTGGAAACAGTTTGTAACCTTCCTGAGTCCAGCTCCAGACCGAAAACAGGGCCCGTCACTGCCCTGATATAGGATGACCACACGCTTTGTGGGCACTCATGGCTTGCGACGCTTTGAGCCAGAGACCGCAGATCACCCGCCACTCACCTGAGCGCGAGCTGGGCGCGGAGACTCCCTCCAACCTGACAGGCTGGCCTAGGAACTTCCGCCACAAGCCCCGCCCCTTCCGCCCAGCGTCCTTCGGATTTTGCAGCCAGGGTAGAAATGAGTGGACCGAGCTGTGAATACCCGTGGAGGGCGACCCCTTTTCCAGCGGGACTGCGCCGGACCCTGGTGTGGGGCCCGCCAGCCATATTTCTCACCTGAGTTGGACCCTCTGGCTCCTCCTGCCCCTTCTCTCCCCTCGAGGCCCGGGCCTCTCTCAATCCGGTAGTCTCATTGTTCAGCTCACCCTCCGCCCATAACTGGCCATAACTACGATCCTTATCTCAGCAATCGTAGTTAGGGAACTATAAGTTATGGTTAAGTGCGTGTTTTGTCTCTAGGTTCTTCATTGGCCTCAACTGTGAGCTCATGAGCGGGTACAACTTGGGTCGTTTATATTTGTCGTCCTCATAGCAACTATTTCAGTGCTTTGCCGCAAACAGCCACTTAAGAAATACTGCATATGTATGATTCTTCCACAGAAAGCATTGGAATTAGAACTTCAGAAGACATTAGGTATTGGCTCCCAAACTAACGGGCTGCATGTGCAGCCTTAGTCATGACTAGACTTGATCTGCATCTAATGAGGGAGGTTACACTATTGACTTTCAAAACTCGGCTCCTCAGTTCTAGAGATTTTTCAGATGTTTGTGTGTGGGAATGAGAGGGGCAGCATTATTACAGCTGCTTCTCCAACTTTTTTTTTTTTTTTTAAGTATATACTTCTCAAAAGACCCATTTTTAACAATGGGGCCCACAACTGCATATTTGAAAACCAAAGCTAGGTGATTTCTTAATCCCCTTCCAGCTCTAACAGAGTCTGTGAATATAGAGCAATATCCTTTCTAGAGCGTTGGAAATGTCTACAATATCCCTGGCAATGGACTTGTCAGGCTGCAGACTTTACTTATCTCCAGGGAGCCCACACGTCAGGAGGCACACTCTTTCAGGCTCTCCACCTGCCCAGCTCCACCCCCAATTTACTCAATTCCTTTATGATTAAGGCAGGGAGACTCCTGCCACAAATCCTGGAGAAACAGAGTAGGGAAGCAAGAGAAGTCAGTGTCACAAACGTTTAACTAAAACACTACTTGCAAAACAGCATGCTAGAGGAGTTAATTGGCACAAGTAAATGTAATAGGAGACCAAATGTGGCAGGCTGTAAAGTTATATTCTGAAGTTATACTGAGTTCAAATCCCCAGCACCACCACTTACTAGTTATGTGACCTTGACCTTTTACAGACAGCCTACCCTCTCCAACTCTTTTATCATTAAAATGGCAATACCTACCTCACAAAAGTGACATATGCAAAGTGCTTAAAATGGATCAAGTGCTTAATGCTTGTTTATCCTTTTTCCTTCTTTCCCCCTTGGGAACACAAGGAAGGGAGGCTATTTTTTACTGGAGAAAACTGGGAAGCTCTTTGGTGAAGGTGGAATTTGAGCTGGGACCTTTCTGAAGGATGAATTGAACTCAGATGAAGATGGTGGAAAAAGACACTCTGGTGAAGGGAGGAGTATGAGAAGAGGAATAAAGGTAGAGAAGTGTATGAACAATGGATAGTATGAAGTGGATATATTGGCAGGTAGGGTTAGAAAGAGAAAAAGCTTCTGGTAGAGAAAAAGAACAAGGTCAAGATCAGGGCTGAGACTCAGTTGCAGAAGCAGGGCTGCCAGCACCAACCTACAGCCTCAAGTGCGGATCCCCAGGTCTCATCTTTTCTACCACTGAAAATAGGAAGGGGGCTGCCCTGTAGAATTGAGTAAAGCTTCTCTTCAACAGAAGGCACTTGCCTAACAGCTCAAAAAACAAAACTGGCTCAATGTGAGCTGGATCCCAATAGGGTTGCACAACACTTGGCTTCTTTGCACTGACATAGGTTGTGGTTTCTCTGCTGTTGATGGACTTGGGTTTCCTCCAGGTCTGTTTTCTCATCTGTACAGGATGGGGTCTCGCTCCATCACCCAGGCTGGAGTGCAGTGGCAGGATCTCGGCTCACTGCAACCTCCACCTCCCAGGTTCAAGTGATTCTTCTGCCTCAGCCTCCCGAGTAGCTGGGATTACAGGTGTGCACCACTACACCTGGCTAATTTTTTATATTTTTGGTAGAGGCAGGGTTTCACCATGTGTTGTCCAGGCTGGTCTCTAACTCCTGACCCTAAGTGATCTGCCTGCCTTATCTCCCAAAGTGTTGGGATTACAGGCATGAGCCACCACACCTGACCGGGACTTAACTTGATCCCTTCTTAAAGGTTTTCTGATAGATGAAGTCCCTACACTACTTATTTGGCCAGTCTAGAATGCCAGAGTGTTTTGTTCCAGGTAGGCACTGATCTCATCTCCACTCTCTCCAAAAAGCAGCTGCCTGTTTTTTTTCTATTTCCTGAGGTCATCCAACTATTTCCCTCCAAACCCCAGCCTACACTCCTAGGCATTTCAAGACCATGGTTTGCCTATTTCTCATCACTGGGGTGTGTCCTTGCTTAGGAGGTAGTATCATAGTCACTGTGAGTCTGCAGCATCCCACAAGCAGCCTCTAACAAGATGAGATATAACATTACTGTACTTGGGTTCTGAACACCTCCTACACACAGAACTGAAGTAGGTAAACATTCTAGTAAGTCAACAATGTGACAGTATAATGAAGGATCAAAAATCATGACGTGTAAAAGAATGGTTGAAGTAACTGAAGATATTTAATCTAGAGAAGATTTGGGAAACACATGATAGGTATGGTTAAATACTTAACAGGGCAATCACAGGGAAGATGACTGGATTTCCTTACACCCATGAGTGAAATTTATAGAAGTATACTCTGACTTGATATAAAGGAAGATTTTAAAAAACATGACTGTTCAGGAGTGTTCAAGTAGGGTCAGATGACCAGTGATTGGGAATACTTCGTAAGCAGGAGCAAGTAAGATCTGAGCCACTGTTCTATCAGTAGGGTGTCTGTGGTGTTCCTTGGTCAAAGAAGTACTCTAAGCAACTTCAGTCTCACAAATTACTATCACCCTGTGGGCATACATGATGGTTACCCTAAAGAGGAAGTTTCAGAAGGCAGTAATATTGGATCCTGGAATAGTCAGACAGGAGCCTTCATGCATACACCCTTTTCAATTCTCCATACACCCATTCACAAGTGGTCGCAAAAACACCCAGTACCTTTACTTGGCTTTACCCACTTAACAATATGCTCAATATGAGCAGTTTGACTCCCAAGCCTAGGTCAGGCCTGAGTGTTTCTCATGAGCCATAGTCTTAGGCTGAGGAGCCTTGAGAGTTGGTGGAGGGAGAGCCCCCCTGCCCGCAGGGGGCTGTGATCACAGAAGTCTGTAGAAAGAGTGGGATCTAAGGAGTCCTGGGGAGGCAGGCCTAAAGGTCCAGGCCTGGCATGATCACTGTCCAGGGAAGGCCCCCAGTTCCTATGGCTCTGTGCATAGGGGCCATTTGTTCTTGACCGACTTCACTCCAAGGATCAGGTGTGGGCCAAGGCTAGGGAGTGGGCAGAAGGCGATGGCTGGTTGGAGAGAAGCCAGGCCGTCTAGTGGGGGAGGATGGTTGGAACATAGCATTGAAGTGGGCTCGGCTTTCAAGCTGCATACGGTGGCCCAGTGGGGAGGCGAGTCCACGGACAAAATGGATTCGAACCAGCCCTGACTGCCCCCCAGATACCAGCCATCCATAGGAGTCCAGGTTTGGGCTGAAACGTACCTGTGAAGAGAAGAGAAAGAGAGAGATCCTTATGGGTGGTGCTTTAGGGTGACTCTAGCTATATGAACAAAAAAAATGAGCCACAATCTGAAAGGACAGGACCATGAGGGGTGAGACAGGTAAGAATGAGAAGCCAGTGAATGAGGTACATCTGTCATGCTCTGGAGGAGGAGGAGGCTGTCATCTGTGTAACCTTTTCATCTCCCATTTCATCAGCCCCAGGCCCAGAACTGGGGGAAAAGAGTGGAGGGTGGAGAGGATGAAAGACTACCTTATGAATAGCCTCCAGCTGCAGCCTGTCCAGGCAGAGTTGAGAATGCCCCTCTCCCTCCTGCATGCGCAGCATTGGTTCTCTACGGAGCAGATCATGGAATGAACCCTGGGGAAGGGAAATGGAAGAGGAGGGAGAAAGTGAGAGGCTCCTTTTTTTATTTTTATTTACTTATTTTTTTTGAGACAGAGTCTTGCTCTGTCGCCCAGGCTGGAGTACAGTGGCGTGATCTCGGCAGCTCACTACAATCTCCGCTTCCCGGGTTCAAGCGATTCTCCTGCCTCAGCCTCCTGAGTAGCTGGGATTACAGGTGCCCGCCACCACGCCCGGCTAATTTTTTGTATTTTTAGTAGAGACATGGTTTCGCCATGTTGGTCAGGCTGGTCTTGAACTGCCCATCTCAGCCTCCCAAAGTGCTGGGATTACAGGCGTGAGCCACCGCGCCCGGCCTTTTTTTTTTTTTTTTTTTTTGAGACGGAGTCTTGCTGTGTTGCCAGGCTGGAGTGCAGTGGTGCGATCTCAGCTCACTGCAACCTCCACCTCCTGGGTTGAACAGCTGGGACTACAGGCATGTACCACCATACCCAGCTAATTTTTGTATTTTTAGTAGAGACGGGGGTTTCACCATGTTGGCCAGGATGGTCTCAATCTCTTGACCTCGTGATCTGCCCGCCCTGGCCCCCCCCAAAGTGCTGGGATTACAGGCATGAGCCACCATGCCTGGCCGAGGCTCCTTAGTTTTATATCTTTGTGCTGAACTCAGGATTACGTACTATACAAAGACTAAAGTTTTCTACCTTTTCTAACACCACACCCATTCTCCTGGCCTCAGCTTACCAAATCTGTGTCTTGAAAGAGCAAGTAGTGATGGTTGACAGTTTCAGTATAAGTTCGAGCCTTGGGAGGGTTGGGGACCCCAGATGAAGCAGAAGAATGGTCTGGACCTTCAGGACTGTCCTGATATGGTATCAGATCTGCTTTATATATAGGCTGGAAAGGAGACCATGAAATTAGGTTCTATAATATTAAAGACAGAATAAAAGCAGAGGAAAGTGGTTTGGGCAGGAAAGGCTTAAAGATGGAAGAAAGTAGTATCTTTAAATATATGCTCAGATGCAGTAGGATAGGGAAGATTATACACAAGTCTGTGCTAAGACTTTCTGGGATAATATCAGGGCCAGGAGACCTAGCACTAATTTGTACTCTACCAGAATTTGGGAGGGCATGTGGGTTAGGACCCAACAGCTGCTGTTAGATGTTCATATACGTACAAATCTTCGCTCTACAGGTCGCTTGACATTTATTGGATTCAGTGCCATATCTGGCAATATAGCAGCAATGAGCTCCCCGGATATATCTCCTGCAGCTATCGTCCCAAGCCAGTCGGATCCTGAAAGACTCTAATAGAAAGAGACAGATTTCATTCATTCATTCATTCATTCATTCATATATTCATTCAGAGCTATGAACTGGTAACAACTGCACAGTCTGAGACACACACAAACAAAAATGAGTTTATCATAACTGACAGCCCTGATTTGATAGAGTTACCACATAGCTATCTTCTCCTACCCAAAACTACTGCCTCTTTCTGACACTAATAGTGCATAAATGAGCCATTTTCCTGTGTAATGAAGACTGCAAAAGAAAGGGGGGGCTCACCCAAACAGTGCCTTTTCTAGGAGCAGTGAAGTAGGCCTTGAAACCAAGATAACCAGCGTCAATATAATGAATCCCACAGAGTCCATAACTGTTAAAAGAGAAATAAATTTAAACCTTCCTTTTCTTTAGATTCATTTCTTCTCCTTAACCTCTTCCAGAATTTAAACCACCTCAGTGAACCAACCCTCTACCCTCCTCTCCCCACAACAATCTGAAATGCTTTGCACTCCAACCCTTAGGGCCTGTCCCTAGATGTCCCTATCTCCATCTTGCCGTACGAGGCATAGCAGTTGTCCTGAGCCACGGTGACACCGTTGTAGGGGAGCAGCCAGGCCAGTTCTGTACTCAAGAAGCGCTTGATAGAGTTTATGGGTTCGTAAGGTCGTCGAAGGTCCCAGAATTTGATTTTCCGGTCACTCCCCGCAGAGACAAGGAAATGGCTGCAAAAAGATGGGAAAAGGTCAAATCCGAACAAATGTGGAAGAGTCAGCCAGTCCCAGTCTTCACCTTCCCCCTCCACACATCTCCTATTCCATACCTGTTAGCTTTGCACCATTGAAGGGTACGTACAGCCTGGTCATGGGCTAGGAAACACTGGAAGGGGTAGAGCTTTAAGGAGCCATCAGAGAGCCGTATCCGCTGCAGGGGTGAGTTAGTGGGAAGGTTCCAGAAAACCACCATGCCTGAAATAGGGACAGAATGTGTAAGCATTAAAAGCAAGTTCTCTCTTCCTTGCTCTAATTTCTTTCTCTGAGCACCTAGGACCTTTGTCTTCTACCCTCAGATCCAAACCACTATGAAAGAATATGGGGATCCTGATTAGCTATCCAGCATTCCCTCCAGGGCTTAAAGACTCAACACGATATTTTAACCCCAATTCTCTTCAACAAAAAAGTAATAGCTTTGTCTGGAATCTACAGTTGAAAAATGATAGGGTGAACACACCTAGTACACAGGGTAGAATGCACCTCTCTCTACTCTCCCTATAAATGAAAGTCAAGAAACTTTAAAAAAGCATAGGCTGGGCACACAGTGGCTCACGCCTATAATCTTAACACTTTGGGAGGCCAGTGCAGGTGGTGGATCACCTGAGGTCAGGAGTTCGAGACCAGCCTGGTCAACACGGTGAAACCCTGTCTGTACTAAAAATACAAAAAATTGGCCAGATGTGGTGGTGGGTGCCTGTAATCCCAGCTACTCGGGAGGCTGAGGCAGGAGAATTGCTTGAACCGGGAGGCGGAGGTTGCAGTGAGATGAAATTGTACCACTGCACTCCAGCCTGGGTGACGAGAATAAGACTCCGTCTCAAAAAAAAAAAAAAAAAATTAAAAACTCTAGGAAGCCAGGCACAA